TTTTTAAGCTTAACTAAACACTGCAGTTGGATACATTTCAGATTACCTCTCACTCTCACAGAGGTTACAAACAAACAACTTTTTCAATTTTGCATCTTTGCTGAAGGCAATAGGAGGATGTGTGAACATTTCTGACACACCACAGATCAAAAGATGCCAAGCCTGCCTTAACAAGGGTAACATCCTCATAATGTGGTAACTGCACAGACCTTGGCCTCTTAGATTCTTACAAAGAAGTAACTTGTCACTATTCTTCACTGAAGTTAAATTACTTAGAAAAAGAACATGTAGGACAAGTGATACATTCTTTCCCTTGGTTCTTGCCTACTCTAGGCCTTTGCTTACAGCTGAGATTCTACAAAGAAAATGAAGAAACATGTACCTATCAAACTAGTTATATTTCCTGTGAAAATAGCAGCTTCTTGAGTTTCTTGATTTGTGTCATATTTTGTGGCTTTAAATGTACTGTGATATTGCCTACATTTGCGGGAGGGTGGAGGGCAAGATGACAGGAAGAGGAAACATGTAGGTATTTTTAATTAGGTTCTAAAACTAATTTTGCTCTCAAGTAACTTCTTCCCTTCCTACGTCCCTCACTATCTCAGAACACTGATTCCACAGTAAAGGAAGCATGAGTCATCACCATTGTTCAGACTGAGATTATACACACGTAATCAAACTCGGCTCCATTATCACAGCTTAATAAACTATTATTTACCAAATGAGTGTGGTAACTGATCACGTGCACATGGTCAAGCCATCTTAGTTATGAAGTAAAACAGACAATATGAGTCTTAATGAAAGCAGCAGAATTTTAGCACTGAGTCTGCGATCAGGATGAGCTATGGAGGCACGCAATCTTTAATGAAACTGAGCTGACAAGCACTGACTCCCTAACTCGAACGTGTGATCAAGTATTCACATATCTTTGATAAATTGGCGAAAACAAAGATGGTGCTGGTTATCCTATCTTCATCCATTGTGATCAACATATATCCTATGCAAATATTCAATCTTTTAAATACATCACAGTCTCTAGGTATAATGACATCATGGCCAACATTTCTATTCCTTTACTCTTCAAAAGGAAACTATGATTTATTGCTCTGAGCCTGGAAGGGCTAACATAAATATTCCATAATTGGTAAATGCAATTAATCTTTGATGTATCTCCTATTTCATCACCAGAATAAACAGTAAGTTTTCCCATTAATTTTGCAGTGCCACAAACTTGAACAATAGTTCACAGACAAATTGTATCATTCAGCTAGGCGTTTGCTCTGTATCATCACCTGACTTAGGTACACTGCAGTTAGGTACCAGTAACAAAGAGACCTGATGCACAGACAAGATCAGCAGTATAATCCTAAAGAGTCAGCTGAGTGTGTTTTAAGGAGAGGTGATAAGATTCTTCACATTTTTTTGCTGAAAAGCTGCTCAAAAATATGAATTTTGCATTGATATAATAACACCGGAAAGCTAATCATCCAGCTAGAGAAAGCATATTAGCAGAAACTATGACTATGGCTGCACGCACTGAGACAGCCTAGTTAATCCAACTCTCAAGGCACTATGAGAAAAACAGACATAGAAGACCATTTGGGTATGTTAAATTGCAATAAATTTGCAAGATATAAATGAGAATAGTTGAAATGAAGGGATGAAATTCAGGTGAGGCAGAAGCCTATGGCTAAGAATGATGCATATGCACGGAATGCAGAGGACGGCATGCCAGAGAGATTATTTTGCCAAAGGTGACTGAGGAAAGGGGTAGATTGCAAAAGTGACTGAGGAAAAGGAGTGCACAGCATATTGGATGATGAAACATTACATAGCTGAAGATTCATGGAAGGACATACAAGGAGTAATGGAAATACGAGTAAACGTGAAGAAGTGGTAACATAACCAACTTCATTAACCAAGTAGGGCACTGGAGTTTAAATGGTACAAGCAATGTATCTGAAACATGGACCAAGCTATTTCAAGACTTGCATGCACAGAAATATTCTAGAAGCTTAGTTTATTATCATTTACCATAACTGAGTTCGGATACATGAATTTTACCAGCACAACAGATGAAACAATAAGAAGGACCCTCTTAAAGTTAAATAAAGAGTGAAAGAAATTTACGTCATAAAAAAAGAAGCAGCAGGAACTTGAGTAAAAAGGACTGTTCCTTCTGGCAATTAGACGACACTCAACAGAGCACAAAAGAGTAGTCATAGTTAAGAATAAGCAGTAAGAGCTGAAAGTACAAGTTGCTGGTGTAAATGCAGCTTCTAAAGAAGACGCATAGGACTGGGAAAAGGATGAAGGAATTTGTTGCTACAGTGCATAAAAAGACTCCAAATCGTACTTAAGGCACCTCAAAGCTCTGATGTAATATGAGAAAAAATGGGTATGCCAAGAAATTCAGTCTAGGACTTGCTAGAGTAACACAACAAAAAGAAATCTAAGAGTTAATGGCATGTGTGGAGAAACAAGTAGTACTGAAATGAAAAATTACAATCAAGGGAAATACTGTACCACATTGGGTAAACTGCACTGTGGAGGTTAAGTACATTTAGATGATACCACTGGTGGAATATAAAGCAAAAGGAACTGCAAAGACAGATTCGAGAAAAACAGTACTATCAAAGATCAAGTGAAGTGACTGACAAAAGTATAATGTTAGATGCTTCAAACCAGAAGGCAGAATATGGAGGTCAAGAAACATAGATGTAGAAGCTCTCCATGGAAACTGAACTCACATTTACCAAAAAAGGCTGAAGAGTAGATTATTTCCTGACTGAAATGTTAAGCAGAGGAATGACTGATGACAGTCCAACTGACAAGGCAACTTAGATGAAGACATAAGAATACAGTATAGGTGAGATAAGAAAGTATATACTTAAAACAGTTATACAGCCTTCCTCACTATCAACGTGGATCATACAGAATCTTAATGGCCTCATTCTTCCAATAACATTTATAGATACGGCAATAGTATTACCAAATTCTAGAAATAGGGACCTAAGCAACTTGCTCATAGTCAAAGAGGAATTTTATGATCGAGCAGAGAACTGAGTTTAGGTGTCTCAAGTACTACATCATCCTTTTCCTCTAGAAGCAAATAAGACAGCAGGATACTCTCCCAGCGTACTGTAACAGGATATGTGAAAGAAGTTTTGGACGATTAATAGACACACATTGTTTTGAAGACACAAAGGAAGAGAGGCATAGAAAGTCTAATTTCATCATGATATAAACCACTACAATTTTTACTCAGGGCCAGTGTCTGACAGTGATGAGAATGAAGACAAAGGAGGGGCCAGAAAGACAGACAGCTTATTGGAACAGACAGAAAAACACTAGACATGAATGTAAATAAGATGCTGGAACACAGAAAATGGGATGAGGGAGGAAAACAGACTACATAAATACTAAAATTAAGCAGTTTACAGCAGATGGAGAAGGTGAAAGCAAGCAAGCAACAAAACTAAAGAATTAAACATAGAAAACCAGAAGACCAACCTGCTAATGAAAAATCAGGAACTGAATATTCAAAAAAACAAATAATGGAAGTGCATCAAACAACGATGCAGACAAGTAGTAAAGTGAACGAAAGACAGAACATTTTGCCAGATATCAGAATAAAGGTGGCCACTTGCAACAAAACTTCAAGTAGAAAGTACAGGGAAGGGAGTAGGGTCAACTTTTCCATTTTCACACTTGAACAGTAGAACAGGCAGAGACTCACTGAGCACAGAATGGAAAATGTACACAATGTTCATCAGACTCCTAATGACTAACAGAAAAATGCATGTATATGGAAGAAGATTCCCCATAGCTGGAAAGCATAGTAGAATAGTTAGTGTTTTCAGTTGTACCAAAATCATTCATGAAAGGCTAAGAAGCTTCTGGGAGAAGAAATGATTTTACAGGTCTCTCTCACAAGCCTCAGAACCTTGCAAAACCAAAATTAGCTTCCTAAATAAAAAGGCAGACCCCTCAGAACCTTTCATACACAGAAGCAGACTTCTGCACTGGGAACCTAAGATTAAATGTAGGCATACTGGTATCTTTATCCTCAATCTACAGGACAGCAATATGAAGCTACATGAACCCAGGAGTTTTAACAACTGCTCTATTTATTGGCAATTCCTTTTAAACATTATTTAAAATATGTCCTTTTATCTGGTTCCTAATCAAACAGTACAGATCAACAGTGCTGGAAAGCTAGAAGTGAAAATTCTGGGAATAAATGTGTGTGTACTTATGACTGCACTGCAGATGAGGCAAGTAAAATGCAAGTCAAGAAAGAACAAGAGAGATGTCGCTATCTTTATAGACTATTTTGCAACAAATGTAAAATCTAACAAAAGGATCTATTGCAACTGATGCTAAAAGGAAGATAATAAAGGCTCAGCAACATATCTTTCTCCTTCCTCTCCCTCATCTTCAACTGATAAAATTTGCTGATATAAACTACATTTATCACCCTTGTAATCAAACATCTCTCTTCTACCAAACACACTGCATGTACTGCACCACTGTAAGAAGCTTTAAGTATAAAGCATGTTCATGTAGGACATCAATTCATTCCTAATGTTAACAAATTAGGGCAGAGAAGAGGGCTGAGATCAGGCAAGATCTTCCATGAATGAAATCTTTCCTACAGAAAAAAAGAGACATATGTAAATTAAGCTGTCCTGTAGTTGTATATTTGAATAATAATGATGTTCTTACTGTAGCATTCAAAATATCGCATCTAAAGACAAAAAAAAAAACAAAACAGAAAACATAAATAATACATAGTTAAATCTAGTGCCAAAGGCAGACATTCCATTTAGGCTTACAGTACCAGTTAAATATCACTGCCTGACTTTTACTATAGCTATGGTTTTTTTCTCTTTTGCTGAATTACAAAGAAATAAAAAACAGACGTTTAAGAAGTAAAATAAACATTACATATTGGTACAGTGATTATTAGTAACTTTTCCAGAATTATTTACACTTACATTTCCAGACTGCCCACTGCTATTTGTAATGCTGTTTGTGGAGTTAAGACTGCTGCTCCATTCATTTGCAATTCCTATGCTGTCTGTTGAAAACAGGTGAGCGCCTGGCTTTGATTGACAACCAGTTTGCAGTATGACTACATTCATGGTGTCCTCTGTTGAAGGAATCCCCAAAAAATTACACACAGATTTGATACTTAGCTGTGTGAATTTAACAGTTACACACCTAGTACCAAACAACAGCACCTGTCACATGGAAACATCAAATCACACACAGGAAATCTCTTTTTCTTTAAATATAAGCATAAAGGCAAGGTAAGCATAATATAATTCACCATTATGTATTTGTGGCTACTAACAAATGTGATACTCTTATTCACTTAGTCCATCAAAAATTGGTGGGAGCTAGATCGAAATTTATACATTTAAAGTATTCTAGATTCTGTTTTATTTTCCAGAATCTCTATCACACCAGGGTTTAAAGACAACTCCTGACTGGAACGGTAACAATGGCATCATAATTATAGGGTTCAGTTTTCTTTTTCCAGTCTATAACTGACTGATGTAATCATAAAACAATTTAAAGAGAATATGGGACTTGTACTATTTAACTTAAAAAGGAACAACAACCTTTGAGAAAGTTCAGTATTGTACATAAATTGTGACCAATGACTCGTTAATTTTTATACCAGAAATTTTCACTCAACGTGACTGAACAATTACTTTGCAATTTGCCAAAGGCTACTTTGTTAAACTATTAAACATCTTAGATATTTGATTCTTTAAATGTGCAATATCTTAAGGAGATTTAGACTTCCAGTTTTACAGGCAAATGACAAATTAACAAAAAATATTTACTTTAGTAAGCAATTACAGTTAATAACATTCCTCACCTCACAATCCATGCACACAAGACATCAAAGTAAGGAATTCAGGACTGAAAACAAAATCTCTTAACTAATTCTACAGGTATGGCCAGATTTTTTTCCTCTCTAGCCACTATTGAATTTCTGAAGGGATAACGATAAACTACAGTTAAAAATCAAAGTTAAACATTTCTCTCTGCTAGAAACAGTAAGTAGCTCTAATACAGTGTATGAAAGTATAGGCCACAGTAGGAAACAGAATGAGTACGAGATACTGCAGATACCTCTCTTCAGTGGAGAGAGCATAGCTGAGGATTGATTCTAATGATGTGGTTTTTGATGGGTTTTTTCTATCTAGCATTTGATTAATCACAGCTCCACGGTCTTCTTACTATACGGTCCAATGCTTTACCAAATATTTCCTCTATTGTATAAATACAAAAATAGGGAAGAAGAGAAAGGAAAAAGCTACTAGTAAGTACCACTATACACACAAGTCCAGTCCAGTCACTCCCAAAAGAAAGAAACGGAAAAATAAACCATAGGGATTGCAAAGACAACGTTACTACACCCCTGCTGTTCCTCCTATAGAATAAAAGTGCAAAGAACAGTTGGGAAGACAGACAGAGATGCGCTGACTTTTTGTAATTTACTCTCACTACATAACATCTCATTATATAGCTGCTTGCCCAGAACAAGTCCAGTCAGTCATCTTATGCCCAGTCAACCCTCACAGTCATAGGAAAAGTACTATCTGATTCATGCTGTCTCCTAAATCTTCACTAGCTTTTTTTCCCTGACACAACCATATACTCGTCCAATATGCTATAAATGAGTGTAAGCAGTCATACTAACCTAAAAAGCTAGTATAAGACTGTCTTCCAAACATTTCAAAAAGAAATATCATCTCCTTTCTCTTTCGAAGGTATTTAGGGAGAATAGCATGATTAGTTTTTGCTATCCTGCTTATTGATAGTAAGTCAAATAGACATGTTAAATTCAGAATGTGTGCTTTTACATCACTCTAGTTTCTCCCAAGAGTGAACATCACAGTTTGTGGCCAGCTGCACAAAAGTTACAAAATCTATAGTGTAAGACTCCCCCAGTCTAACCATATTTTCTCAAAGACCTATAGCTGTTGTAGGAGGCCACAAATGACAGAAAAACAACAGTCTTACATGGTGGGCCTATCTCGTGCCGATCATTGAACCTCATGGAGATTAGGATAGAGCCCTCAAAAAGAACTTCAACTATCTGATGCCAGTGAAGTGGTGCTTCAGGGATTATGTATCAGTAGCCTAGGATGTTACGTAGAAACAGGCTTGTACCCTTTATGAGATACAGCTTTTTCAGCTATGTAGCCTCCTTAGAATTTGCACTAACACAGCCCGGGTATTATGAATACAAGAGTTACTACAGTCAGGTTAGGTTTGGCCTGGGGAATCCCATCTTTCATGAAGTCAGAAGTAAGTTTTTTCATTATTGCAGTCTTGGCACCAATAGAAGACAACAGTCTTGAACGAACAAGCTGAAGGCAAATGCCTTCAGTAACAGAAGCTGTTATCCAGGAGACGTGTCCTTTGAAGTGTTTCCAAATTCTTGCCAGCAGAATTTCAGTCTGCCCGTGTTTCTGTTTCAAAAATAGATCTATTTTTTCAGTAAGGTTCCAATTATAGTCAGGCAGTCAGTGGACAAACAAGTGCCACAGAGAGGTAGAGAGATGTTTATTATTTTAAGTGAGTCCATTACTGAAGTGTCCTAACATACCCTAGCTACTCTCTGTTTTGCAAAGAGTGTCAGCGATCTATGTCAGATCCCACCACTTCTCTGCTTTTCAGGATCAGGTGCCCTCTCTCTTCTCATCACAAAGTGATGGGACTACACTGGACCTAGGGCTTCAGCCAGTGGGGGAAAAACACGAGTGACATTTACAAGACAATACTGTCTGCAGCCAGGGCCTGAAGGTAAAAGCAGTCTTGGAGGAACAGTAATATTCCTCATGATCTCCACAAAGGATGGAGAAAAGGGAAAAAAATGGTCAGCTGGTTCTGAGGAAGTCATTGAGGGAAGACCATGAACGCTACTATAGAGAACATGTGCTTCCACAAATTATTTCACACAGAATGATAAAAATTGCTGAGATACACGTATGAACAGTGGAAAATCTTCCTCTACCTGTTCCACATAGCTAGGGCTTCACTGAAGTTAGGTAGAGAACGCTCATAATTTCCGATTCAAAGAGATCCATGAACCAAGAGTTTCATGCTTTTCATACTGATGATAAGATCTACAGCTCTGAAACCATTCTCTCGCCCTTCCCTAATGGGACAGAAACCATTTTATTCGATGAACATAGGAGGCAGAATGTCAGAGCTACTGAACTAAGCTTAAAGCTGTTGCCAGGAGCAGAAAGGAATTCTTGCTGATAGTAATCAAACATCTAACTTCTGACGCAGTATTCGGACTACCAGCGACAGGGTGTGGGTACTATTGCAAGATTTCAAGTTCATTTGCTGAGATTTCCTGCCTAAAGAGTTTTTATTCCAGATGATGCAAGCCAAAGAGTTCCAGAGCATGGTAGCTGAGTCGTATAAGTCTCTTCTGATGGACATAAAATTCTGTCTAATGCAACTATGTGGAGAAAAATTAAACTGTTGCTTCTCAATTAGCACTGCTAACATGTTCAAAGTCTCAGGAATTTTCTCACAGTTCTGGAGATTTTTAAAGAGTACAAGAATTCATCCTACAGAGTAGAAGAAAGAACAGGGCCGGGGTAGAAGGATTAGCAACAGATTAGAAGGATATCCCTTAGGGAGAATAACATCAGCAAATTGTTAAATTTGGACTTTCCTTCAGCCCTCTTTATCTTTACCCTGGGCAACACTTCTCCTTAGAGATGGAAAACTTGTTTATTGTCAATGAGAGCTTCCTCCAAGAATGATTACTCTCACAGGAATCAAGCATCAACTGGACTGTTAAAGATACTAATGATCAAGACATAGAGAAGCAGATCATGATGGGGTCTCAAAAGAACTCCAATCACTCTGCTGAGTACACTCTCCATGCTGGAGAGGCAAGAAGGGAGGCAGCATTCAGTATGCTCTTAGGAAGAAAACAGAGAAAATGTGGTCTTCTCCCACAGAAGTTTTATAGCATGTCACAATTACACCATGCTGCATGTGTATATGTTAAATCATACTCTTTCAGCTGTTTCAGGAAATAAAACACTTATATCTGATAAACAGAACAGTAAACTCAGTGTCACAAATTATTTCTGTAACAAAATGTCTATTTTCAGACTTTCCTGACTCAAAGCAGTACTTGCAAACACTGGCAAACAGTGAAGAACTTGATTTAGGAGAAAACCCTAACAGCACAAAAGGAAAGGCAGTGAGCTACTTTTGATGTGAAGAAACAGTCAATATTGACTTCATTGCCATAATGTTTTGAAAAGTTGCTAGGTCTTAGAATAATGGGCTTCTTGAAATAGATACGGGAGGTTCCTCTTCTCCTCTTGAGTAACAGAACAACGCAAAAAATTGATCATCCCACAGAAGTTAAAAGACAAGTTGACCATACCACAGATTCTCTGAAACAAGAGCTGTGTGCAGCAAGAATGACTCTATTCACTGAGAGTCTTTTAGGTAAGCAAGTGACACAATAAGCTGTTGTATAGAACACCACATTTCCCTAGACAGGTTAGACAGAGAGAGGAGACTGCCATTACTTATCATCACAGAATCGTAAAAACCAGTACTACAGAACTGCAGAAATTTGGTGCTTTCCAAAACTGGTAGGGTATCTTATCCCTTGTTCCAGCTCTAGAAGCAGAAGGCAAGAAAGATGGGAACAGACCTTTTTTTTTTTTCTTTTTGAAGAATAAATTGAATTGCATAATCAAGCAAAAACTACATAATCAAAAAAAAAAAAGGTTTATCACCTGTAAGAAACCAGTTGCATATAAATGCGTCAAGTTCTGCCTTGCATCACAACTGAAAAGAAGGCATGAATAGTTGTTGCAGCAGCTGCACACTTCACATTCTGGAGTGCAGGAAGAATGTAGGGGTAACCTCAGTTGATACTACTGTTAACAACAATCTGATGATGCACACCCAGAATTAATCTGGGTAGATGCATACTGAAGAACTGAGTGCTGTCTTGGAAAAAAACGGTCCCTCTTCCCTTTTTCTATATATAATAGTTTGAGTGGAGTGAAGGTGTAAGTGGGCTATGGAGGAAAGAGGACAGCTGACATAATTTTCTCTGTGTTCTTTTTCAGTTTAGCTAAGGTCCTAGTTCTGCAAATACTTGCAAGGATGTTTTAACCTTTACCTGAGAAGTTTACTGGAGGTTTCAATAGGGCAGCTAATAAATTTTACAAAGTCAAGTGTATGTGTAGAAAATTGCCAGATCAAGCTCAAAAAGCTATAGGCACAAGCCGCATTTGTAAAGAAAAGCACCTCCTGTTTTACTGCTGATGTAAATTTGATGCAAATGCAGCAAGCTCCCATAGCAATGTACGGTATTAGTAAACATGGCAAGAATTTCTAAGAACAACTGACACCAAAAGCCATTTATGCATAAAATGAATAATGTTAAGTCACTTCTGCTATTGATGCTTAGAAATGATGGTTCACTTCTATGAACACTGATACAAAACAACAGTTCTCTTACTTACTTTCAGCATGTGCAAACGCACAAAATGGACCACGTGGGCAGTAACCTGTTTGGCGCATGTCATTGCACTTTGTAGATTTATATATCTAAACAAAACAGAAGGGTGATTAACCTAAACATATCTGTTACATAATGACAAAATAGTTAGAAAATTTTAAAACCTTTAAATGAAAAATTCTGAATACTCACTAACAATATGTATTACATGGTTTTCTCAGAAAATTCAGTTCTTATGGCCATTTTTAAAAGTCAGGTAGAAGAGCAGAATTTTAAGAAAGGCAAATCTGAGACAAGAGAATCTTAACCCTCTTCTATATAATAATAAATAGTAAGTAACAATAATATTTTAGAAAAGCAGTGTTGCAGCTACTTTGGTTTTACATGTTGTATAGAAGATGGCCAATATTACAAGACAGACAGCAAACTCAAAGAACTAAATCATTACAGAAGACTAACTTTCCATCTATAGATAAGAACACTGTTGCTATACACTAACAGCAGAATCAAGCTATTTCTGCATGTGATAACCAAGAGATTTCTCCAAACAACAGTCACTGAGCCAAGAGCCAATGACAATATTCTGTATTTTAATTTGGTAAAGAACGAGCACAGGAAAACATTCAATAAGATAATGTCGGATAAAGTGAGTATTTACTCAACTTAAAATAAAGGACATAAAAACGTAAGGCTGAACTAATGTTACTGACATCAAGACTGAGGAATGAAGGTAACTGATTACCACCCCTAAATAGACTGAATTTCATTATCAACTGAATAAAATGAGTGCTTTGAACCCTGAAGTCAGAGGTAGAAAAGCTGTAAGGAACTTCCATTCTAACCACGCAACTGGATGAAAGTCAGAGCTGGAGCAAAGAAAGGAAAGGATCACAGGGTATGATGTTGAATGAAAACTCCTCTTTCACTGCAGGCATGTTGCCAGTTTCTGTGAAATTAAATACTAGACCTAAAATTAGGTGAAGTGATAACACTCTCCCCAACAAACTGCCTTGATTATCAGTAGGAATTATATTCAATACTACAACATAGGCAGCATAGCTAATGGAAACAAGCAAAGACTGAGGTGACTACAGCTGATGTGGAAGCAAATCACCATCAGTTCAGGAACAACAAGTGAATTAGGTAATGGTTACATGAGAATTTTTTTTAAAATTACAAATAAGACAGAAGCAGTTAGCAAGCACTTTTAATAAAGCCGTCACATCAGAAGTAGCACATGTAACTGAGGTATATTAAGTATATCTCATATGTCTGAGAAGAGAAAAAATAGCTGATTCAGGCCACTGCATATCCACTAATTATTCTGTCTGTCAACATTTAGATTCAAGGCAGAAAGAAACATTAAAAGTACATTTGGCACAGGCACATCATGGTAGACTCACCATCTAACTTTGATACATCAAAGGTCCTTCTCTAAAATGGAAAATGTGGCCATTCTAGTAAGGACTTCAATAAAGGATGTGGTAAGATGCATTCATTAAGATAATGATGAACATGACTCTTACCAATGTTACGTATCTGCTGTCAAATTGACTAACAGAGAGATGACAATGGAAGGTATGAAAGAGGAAGGCAGCAGAAAAAATTAGTAGCAGAACTCAAGCCTTGCAACTTATTTTAGCACTTTCATTCGTACTTTTGTCATAAATAAAGGTATAGTAGCAATGCTAAGCAGGAAGAGACCTGACACTACAGAACATGACTGGAATATGATGCAGAAGAAATCAGATGTTCTGAAATAAACCTGGACTGTAAAATCTCAGGTAATCAGGACAGTTAAATTCTGAAGCAGATATATCTCTGTATCTGGAGTAGACAGCTGACACCTGTTTAGTATAAAGATATAGCTGGTCAACTTATGATAGGGAATGTATGATATGAAGCTTGCAACAACCCTGGAGCAAGTATTGTAAGAATTCCTTTCCCAGTATGGTCTTGAGATGCCTTCAATAATGTTCCTGATTGGAAGAGAAATTAGCAATTGCTTGAACGGTCTTTGCTTATACCTTACTAAGTACTGAACTTTCTAATGCAAGAAATTACATCCTGCTGTGAATTCTTTGTGTCCATTCAAAGGTCACAAAATGAAAAAATATATCCAGTGTTGTACAGGGAGCTTCTAGCATAGCATGTCTTTTCAGTATCATGTTTGCTTCCATTAGCTGACACATTTAATATATTCATAGTTTCACACAAGAATTAAATCTCAGCAGATTGCATGGCATTGCTCTCTTCCGTAGCATTTCACTGTTATGCTCAACCACCCACAAAGTTACAATGACTTTGCCTACAGAGGAGTCTAAAATCACCTTGTTTTTCTGGAGTGTCCTACTTCAGCCGTTAGGAGAGTTTTCTGCTCTTTCCACCTTCCCCTGACCTATTCAGTTTCTCTTATTTTTTTGCAATAAAGCTTTTTTAACTACACTTAAAATAGAAGTGTCTCCCAAGTTACTGAGTAGCAATTACTACTGTGACTTCATTACCAATCCAAGAAGTTAGGTAAAAAAGAGAACACATTTATTTATGCCCAAATCCAGAGAATAGTAATTATTTTTTCATAAGCAGTACAATAAAAATGCCTATCAGTGAAAACCACAGCAGTACAAGTAACTACTTCTTAGCAAATTTTGTTTTGCTTAAGCAAGTACCTCAATAACTGGAAGTAATGAATGAAATATCACATTTTTTTCACAAATAGTATCTTTAATTGATAATCTTATCCATAATAAATTTGATATCACTAAAAGTAAGTAGAAACATAGTTCTTACCTCAGGATGAAACTGCTGCTCTGTACGAGAATGACAATATTGACAGCTATCCCCACTTTCACACCTTGAAGGTTCACCCCATTCATCCGCATGTTTTACACTGGGGCAAGGAGTGGACCTAGAAAAAAGTGATGTCCAGACCATGTTTGTATCTACTTCCTAGCAGAAGTCTCAAACAATTTCCCACTAAATATCAGAATCTTAGATTCTGGGACCTACAAAATCGCAAATTATGAGAGACTCTGACTCTTTGGAAATTCTTTGACAGAAAGATGAGCTAGTATGATTCTATCTATCTTCAGTCTAATGACATTTATTCACAGTCCTGAGACTGTCAAGCAAAGCCCATCAATTCTAAACCTTGTATCACTGCATGAAAAAACCACCAAAACCAACGAAGAAACCAGTGTATGAGAATCATGTAAAATAATCTAGTGATGAGTGATGTAATGATGAAAAGTAAGAGAGGAGATGCATTAAATTTTGGTCCTAAAAATATTGCTCAGAAATGGAAAATTATGGAACAAAACCAGAAAAGACAGAAATTATAACTGATCTTTTCATAACAAAGAAGGTTTGACCTAGTGATTTCAATTCTTGCTAATTATAGAAATCATTTACATTCTTAACAAGAAAGAAAGATATTTCTATTACGGCTTCATAGTTATTGTCTTCAGAACTGTCTGATCATTCTGAACAGATGCTTTTTTTTTCCCCAAAAAAATGTTAGCAAAGCTACTGGGGAAAGATGTGGTTTTATTCCATCAGGAATACACAATTGCATTATAGAAGAACCCAAATAAAACGGTCTATTAACAACTGTCTGACTGACCAAAAAGTCTATTCTTAATATGTATTTGTGTACCTGTATTTGAATTTTCTGGGATTTCGTCTTCTATCTCGACTATTGTGATAGTGTGGACATGCATAGCCCTGGCGGCAGAGTCTGGGTGGCTTGGTACATTGTTCTGTCTTGTAGCCAGATAATACAAAATTTGTGTCTGTAAACAGGTCAACAGTTAAGAGAAATAAACAACTAATTTTTGCATTCAGAGTGTCTTTAGTGAGCTTAGGTATCACACTGCTTTTTGTAAAAAAAATTATGATTCACAGACCCCTCCATACTTATAAACGTAGACTGACTCCTGCATTTTTTGAAATAAAAGTCTAACGCATTTATACATGGAAAGCAATCTTCATTGCTTTTATATTCAATAGAAATATTACAATAAAGTACACAAATAAAGCACTAGCAATCCATTGGTAGAGAAACTATCTGGAAATTCTCATTATATACATTTAACATTTTGAAAATGAACACCTGAAAATACATTATTCATTTCAGTAAGACAAACACTAAAAACTTATACAATTTTATATCTGGATTTCTCTTAAGTTTAGTATTGACAGTCCTTATTTCACCAAAACTGCTTTCATGTTAAGGTATGTTAAGGCTGTCCAGTAAAATCTTCCTGGACAAATTCTAGAGCCTCTTCTCTACCTTTGCCTCTGTCTCTACATCTTTGATTCCAGGAAGGAGGAATCACAGAATCACAGAATCAGAGAATCACAGAATGGTAGGGGTTGGAAGGGACCTCTGTAGGTCATCTAGTCCAACCCCCCTGCCACCTCAGAGGGAAGAAGTTCTTCCTCATGTTCAGACGGAACTTCCTACACTTCAGTTTGTGTCCATTGCCCCTTGTCCTGTTGCTGGGCACTACTGAAAAGAGCTTGGCCCCATCCTCCTGACACCCACCCTTCAGATATTTATAAACATTTATTAGTTCCCCTCGCAGCCCTCTCTTCTTCAGGCTCAACAAGCCCGGCTCCCTCAGCTTCTCCTCGTAGGAGAGATGCTCCAGCCCCCTCATCATCTTTGTAGCCCTCCGCCGGGACTCTCTCCAGTAGCTCCTCATCTTTCTTGAACAGGGGAGCCCAGAACTGGACAGAGTACTCCAGATGGGGCCTCACTAGGGCAGTGTAGAGGGGAAGGAGAACAAACAAGGTTCTGTCTAGAAACAGAAAAATTCAGAAAAACGATGGAGCAAGTAAATAAATTATAAGGTACAATTTAGCTAACGGCAAGCACAGGTTTGTGAGGAAGTAAATCACGTCAAACCAGTCTAACTTCTTCCTAAGGTGGGAAAATTGATGTAGGTAAAAGAGAAGCAGTCAATGCCATGTATCCTGACTTCATCAAACCTTTTAAGCTGAGATGTTCTCAAAAACAAACTGCACAATACTACAAGACTTCTGTAAGATTTGTGGAACACTCTCTGAAGAAACATTCTCAGAGAGTCATTAATGATGCACTTTCAAATAGCAGAGACTGTTAACCAGAGTGTCACATGAAGTCTATTCTTTGTTCAGTCCTTTTCAATAGTTGCATTAAAGACTTAGGAAAATAAGGCTGAAATCACTAGTTGGATGATTTTCAATCCACAAAAACTATGTGCAATCTCACCATATTTACAGGGATTGCCAGAAGCCATACAACATTACATAACACAGACAAGTCACAATGCAAGGAATGCAATAAAAGTGTTCGTAGTTGGTCAATTTTGCTATCTTTTTACGTGAAAAATTCAGTATTTTTTGATCTAGAGCTGACAGTTAAGCTCTACGCATTATTAGTACTTAAATGGTTGGAACTCGCCCTATAGTAGATTTTAAATATAATACAGAGGGGAGAAGTATCACACAATTATCTCCCCTTGAATTCGTTAGAGACAGCATGTTCTCGTGACCTCTTCCTGTGTAACTGTCCCCACATGAATTTTGTGGAAGTAACTGTACCCGGCAGTCTTTTCTAAAGTAAAATTCAGGCAATAGCTCTAACAATATACGATTAATATTAACATCTTTGCCTATATAATATGCAAGTCGAAACCAAGAACATGAGAATAAACTTTGAAAGCCTTAAGGAAACTAGGGAAATCGCATTTACTTTAAGAGATCTAATACAACGTTTTCAAGACATTCTTGCATTTTAATATTCTCCTCCAACTTTCTGTTTAATATTCTACTTCATTCCTGTTAGTCAAGCTCAGCAAAGAATAACGGTCCATTAACTAGTCTATTAATGACTCAAAAAATGAAGACTCTAATTATTACTACTATGTAGCACAAGACAGAGCTCCTACTGACTTTTAAGAACATTTATTCAATTGACACAGGTTAGCAACACTTCTACCGAGTAAACTGAAAAAGACCTATTAAACATTTTCAAAACAAAACATTTTCCAAATGCAATCTGAATATTAAGGTGACAGTACAACTTGTTCACAAATATCCGTGTTACTTATATAAACCAATTCTTTACTCTGTTAAAAAAGGCTTTTGAACTTCTCCCAGATGAAGACCCAGGATTAACAAATTGGATCAAACACCAATAAAGAAACAGAAAGGAGACAGGGTAACGTTACCCTGCCATCTTGGATCTTCATTAAGGATCTTCTCAATCATTGACTGGCTTGCTAAAATTCCTGGCTGCAGATCTGGAATGCCTTCACCGCATCCTAGCTGCCCATTCTGTAAGGTTTCCTGTGCCTGAAGTTCTCTGGAATTGGGAAAAGAAAATAACACTGCTAAACTGTATAGCTACAGTAACCCTATCTGTCGCAGGTATAGTCCTGTCCAAGTCTATCAAAATTCTGTCATTTAATCCAGCTCTTAACAAGCCTAAATTGCAAAAAAAAATTACATTGACTGTATTTCAAACCACTATTTGAGCTCAAGCTGGAAAACAATCATAAGGAACAATCATGACATACAAAACAAAGAGAACACATGAAAGAATACTGGCAATATGTACACACACACAATGATTGTACCAGCAATTCCCATCTGTACCTCTGTATGCTGGTGTGCTGACATTTTGAATATGCTATCAATTTCTGATATTCCACTGCCACACAGGACATGGTAGAACTAAAAAAGATATAGAAAGGGCAATAAGGGTGATCAGAAATACAGAAGAACTCCTCTATGAGGGAGAATTAAATCCATAAGACTGTTTGCGTTGGAAAAGTTATGACTGAAGGCAGGTAGAATATATAGCTACTGAATACTACCTCATATAAAAGTAGCCAAAGTACTTCTGGCTCACTGTAAGATTTTGCAAGAAAAGTTTTTCAAGACATTTGAGAGACCTAGTAACAAGTAACAATCATTATGAGCAAATGGAATCTGTTCTGCAAGAATTTACAACCGCTTTGCAAGTTAGCAACCACTAGCTTGCTGAAAGATCAGAATGATTACTACCAAACTAAAAGGTATTGTATTAGTGGCATGAAACCTCTACCAAAAATCTGAGAAGTTTTTATTACATCATTTTAGGAAAATTGCTGTACAGAGATTCAACAATGGCAAATCAGTACAAAAGACTAAAAAAAAAAAAAAAAATACTATAGCATAATTATATCAGGCATACATTGAAGCAATGGAGAAGCAAGGTGAGGAATCAAATACCAGAGGTGGATCTATAGTACTCTCTGAGAATCAAAAGCCTCTACCTTCAATTGGCACTGCTTTCTCTAGACAGAAATATTCAAGAAGCATACCTCCTATATCAAAATACTCCTACTCAGGATCTGTGAACAGGAGTTTGCAAGGTATGGTGATTTATAACGTAACTAGTTATATAATTTACATTATCATTTCAAGAACTTCCCAGACTTCAAGTGTCCTCCAAGAAAGAAAATCTCAAAGGGAAAGGAATACAAGACAGACCCAAAGCCAAGTCTAAAACCTTTCAAGCAGTCAAAAGATTTCTTTTACAGATTCAGAAAAGGTGTAAGCAATGAGAAGGAAAATACATAGTTGCTAGAGAGTGCTTTTTCTTTAAGGTGGATATGTAGAACAACAAGGCTATTATGGCCAATAAAGTTAGCATCTGCATCAGTAATTCCACTGTTCTTTCTCTGCTCTTTACTTAAAATAAAGAAACCCTAATATCTGTGTCCGTCACAGAGCAAAAAGACCAACCAAAGAAAAAATAAGACCGGATTGTTTGAGGCAGCCTGCTTGTAGGTTCAAGCTGTTAAGCATAGACTCCTACCACAAATACCCTCAGCTCCTCCTGATGCTGTATACATAGCCAATCACCAATAAACAATCATGTAACACACTCAGAGATATTTAGAGAATGGAGCTTGGTTTCAGTCTTGCTATACATTGGGTCCTCATTCTAATACAATACAGAAGATTACAAAAATACTAAGCATTCTGTATTCAGACTGACGTGGCATCATGCTGCGTATGCTAAAAGAGGAAAGTTAAAAAGAAGAAAAAGAAAATGGACAGATGTCTTGCAGAAGCAGCACCAGCTAGCTAACTGAAGAAAGCCTTCTAGAAAGAAAAGCTATATATAATGAAACAGTACGTGACCAGGCAATGCAGCAGTGAATTCTGTGGCAAAACACGAATTTAAATAATCATGAAATTATTGAAAACGCACTAACTTTACTAAAATTGTGAAGAGTTATCATCTCCCAACAGATGGTTGGGAATAAGGGATAAGAAAGGTAAGAATGTAAGATAGAAGCCATACCAGCTCAGATCAAAGGTTCATCTAGCCTGGAATCCTGTCTCCAACAGTGGCCAATAGCAGACGCCTAGGGAAGAGTATAAGAATAGGGCAAGCGTATAGTGATACTTCCCCAGAATGCTCTTCCAGTGTCCAGTAAGAGATACTTGTGACCCTCCAAAGCTCTCTAGGAATTGGTATCCTTTCCTATTGAGTATATACAGACCACCTTCTGTAACAAGAGCTCCCCTTCCACCCATTTATAATACCTCCCACCAACATGCTTATCTCCCAGCTTTGGCCACAGCTAAAACTCATACCTACCACTACCCTGATTCACAAAGCATCTTTTGACAATAACTCGATTATATATTAGAGAGGCAGAAAATAATACTGATTTATTACATATGAAAAAATATAACGTATCTTAAAAATCCACAATGTCAGTAGGCAAAATGTCAAACATACAAGCTGAGAAACTGAAAGATGGCTTAACAAAATCATAAATTTGTGAATGTAAAAACCAGATGCAAATTTACAAGGTATAAATGACAAAAGGCAGAATATCTGGTCTTCTATCAGTTATAAGAATTACATGTATGGCTCTTGAAACTGCAAGCTATGAAACCTTAGTATTTGTATTTCCCAGTGTGCTTCTGTCTGCTATTGTGATGCAAAATGAATTGTATTCTTATGTTTACAGTTACAGAAGCAAGTATATTTTTCATGCAAAACATACTGCATTTTCTGGTATGTGGTGATAACAGACGTGGCATTTCCTGCTAATTAGACTGAAGAATTTGAAGCAGGACTACCTTATATCACATACTGGTGGTCTAAGGTCATGTGGACCATGAGCAAAGGCACAGTGAATTCCATTCTTCACACAGTGACCGCGGGCATCTGTTTCATGAATGCACGTTCCAGTCTTGTAATATCTGAGATGATACTTCTTTTCTGTATCCCCTGTTGTTCGATGCAGGTAAGGGCAACTACATAATAAAAAGAGGAAAGTCAGAGCATTGCTTTGAGTTTTGATTTTAATAATTTAATTCTGAAATATGCTGTATCTCTTATTAAGTCATAACAAGTAACTTTGCAGGATTCTTCAAACAAAAATTGTGTCAAACGAACCACTATCACAGATCAGCTTCAAAATGGAAAACATTAATCTTTTTCTTGGTCTCTGCTAAACTTCTAAGAATTTATAGCAGGCTAGCTCACAAAGATATTATTAATAAATCTAGTAAGCATCCCTGTAAGCAACAACATTATCTGGGCTAAGGAATGACATTTTCCATACTGATACAAGTTCAAATAATTTCTACACTAAGAGGTATAAGAATTTTTTTTTTAATGTTGTCATAATCTAAAATCAAGCAGTACTTCAAGCATGGTGATTTTTTTCCTGTCTGCTCTTTATAAACATGGAACTTACTGAACAACCTCAGGGAAAATCCAAAATGACTCTTCTATTAAAAAGAAGAGCACAATTGTTACATCAGCAATACATCATTGTACATACACTAAGCATTTTTCAGACACAACTATGTGAGTTATGGTCCATACTTTAAAACAGCTGGCATCATGTATGGATTGTAATTCCAACTGGCAGTAGTAAACAAAATTTGAAACCCACAAAACCATATACATAGGTATGTCTGTTCTCTCCCAGTTTATGTCAGTGTAATTAATTTTGGTCTCTGCTGGTTTTGAAAATACACTAATCTCCAAAAACTACTTTCCCCCACCTCAACATAAAAAGAAACTGCACCAGAAAGCTTAAGAGAGGGATACAGAACAACAAATGAGAAGTCCTACAGAAATATTTTACTTTGAATGGAGGAAGAATAGCGGAGCACTAAGTAGACTCTAACACTCCTAAGAATTTATGCTGGTTTAAGCTTTCTTTACTATACTCTAAAAGGATTACTTAGATTAAACAGATGCAATTGTTTGCAAACACTTACAAGTCTGGTATTTATATATTTACATCAAAATCATACATTTTTCCTGCTGTGCTAAACACCTGCAGCTTGTGCTGATTTCCAGGAATTTATACTGTTTACGATTTCTGAGAATCAAGTTGCTTCCTGGTAGGAGTTTAAAACCAGCATTCTGTTAAACAAGATAAATGGGCTGCAGCTAGTGCTTTACACCTATCTCTTTAAATGCCAACAGAATTAATTAGTGGGAAGACTAGGTTATACCAAATTCAGTGCTACATCTCGTGTTGTCAGTGCAAGATGGAGCACAGTCTACGCTCAGGATCTGAAAGCAGTTCTTTCACACTTCTTGGCTCTACATGGAAGGACGGACACGATGCAAGCTTTGCTGGACCCATTGTAGTGCCTCAGCTGAACTCTATGAGAAATTCTTTGTGATCTGTGAATAGCACTGATGCAGCCCTGCTGTTCTGCTAGAATTGCTACTGATATGGAAAAATGAGAAAACCCACGAGAGTCAATCAGATACTTTCGCCAGCACTAGTCCTGTACAGAACTCTAAACAAGAGGAAATGCAGTCTGAGGCTGTATTTTCGTTATTGCTAACTGTCCCATCACTAGCAGAACCTTTGCAGGGCAAAGGTGAGAATACTCTGTCATATTCTTACGCATAGTGTTCAGCCTCTGTTTTTATGTAATTAAGTTTGCTCATTCCAATTTGAAACAAGAATTAAATGTCTTCTCTTCCATGCAAGAAGTGTACAAATGTTTACATCTCATTGCTTGTCTCCAAGTCCATGGTCCCTTACCAGAGGGCAAACACTTTTGCTTAACTACCTGCTATTTTTCCCTAGTGAAGTCACCTTGACACTGGAGGTCCCCTCCAAAATGTTAAAGGCTTCAATTATTTTTAAATTACTGCTTTAAAAAAAAAAAAAAAAAAAATTCAGTGGAGTATAGATGTAGCTTGTCAGACAAGCTCAACACAACTTGTATGCAATGTGAGAGAGGGAGACATACCCAGGTCACAATTTTTCCCAGAAGACGACAACATGGATTCCAAAAACAAGCTGGGAAAGACATATAACTTTGTCACAAGACTCTTACTTCTGCTAAATTAAACCTAGGTTTGTTTGCCCTAAGACTCAATAGTTGTGCCATCAATAGCTAATGAAATCTGAATTTTACTTAAAACCCAGCTTTCCTACTGCACATTTTGCTAGCTGCCTGAAGCGTCCAATAACAGGTGAAGTTATCCTGCAGAAACTAACAGAATGTTTTAATGAGGGTAACCAGTGCAACTGGGAGAGTTTGTTCCCTGAATTTTGTCTAAGACTTAGAAAGAACTAGTTCTAAATGTCACTCAGGGGGACTACACAGCATGCAAACCTCAAAGAACAAAAACGATGGCATTAATTTTGCATGTGTGTTACATAAAAATGTGTGATTCATACAATACCACAATAATACATATGCTATTAACCACAGACACCTTGATCAGCTGTAGTTCATCACAGGATCACTAGTCAGAGAGGCAAAAACCTCTAATAAAGGCAGGTTTTAGATGGTAGATAGTAATTATTCACACATAGTATCAAACTAAGCCAATGCACTGAAATATGCACAGAACAGATGTTCTACTCAACCTTTGATGAACTTCGGGGGTATTAGATCTTACCTTCAATTTATTAATGAAATATTTTAATGGAGCATAAACCACTGTAATACATAGCTTTAAACAAGACTAGTATTATGATTTTAAATGGCTGATTTTAATTATCATCTGATTATATGGCTGCAAACTGATACACTTGTTCATATGTACCATAGTTTGGTACTAAGGTTGTTTAGACATCCTTAGAATAAAGTTTTTATTAAAAAAAAAAAAAAAAAAAAATGTTCCCAGGCAGAGTAACAAATATATTTCATGGCCCATATTACTACAGCCATCTCCCTGCTTAAAATAACTGTATTGAATCCTAACTTATTAATCGTGAATCGGTAAAGGAGATTACTCTGCATTTTTAAGTTTTGTTGGAGTCTACACACAACATTTAACTATTGAAATCAGCTTTGTTTTCTGCATCTGGATCTCACAAAGTAAAACTGTCATTACATTATGCGAAGCAAGCAGATGTGTATACCATGCGACAGAACATACATTCACAAAAACTTCAAAGGTTAACTGATAACTGAAATGTGTATTTCCTTTTCACACTCTTCTTAATTCACATCATAAACATTCCAAAGATACCTTTTAACAATAAAACAATTTCAGTTTAAAAGGTAATGTTAGATGTTCTTAAGTGTATGAAAACAATTACATAGTTCTACTTCTGTTCAATCTTGAGGCACTGACATATTTTTTCATATGATTACTCAAAGTGCTTTTCTGTAGCAGGCTTCTGTAATTCATTCACTCTTAGAGCAGTCTTACATTACAGATAGTAACATATCCAAAATAATTTTCTCTTTTAGAACCTGACGTCAGTTGACGACAATGCTTGAAAAACACATCAGACAAAAACCAAGAAAGTATCACTTCTATTCTCACTTGTGATATTGGGAGGAACGCTATTCACTGTTCAAAATATATGCCTCTAACTCTGCAAGTAATCTAGTCTTTCTCACAGGCCCTTCCTCAGAACAGATTGTTTTAATCTGCCACCCTTAGAAAAGCCCTTTTCTAAACAGTTTTAAAATTCTGGGCTTCTTTTTGTTCCAAGTTGAGCTTTGGAAAAAAGTATCACAGTCAAGCCTGGGTGAAATCAACAATTTCTACTTTAACTCTTCTGAAAGTATGTTGCTGAAAACAATTATGGGTGTCATCACTCTACCCTTCTTGCTGGTTCTCCATCAACTCACAAACTGCATTAACTTAATCGTGTATTCAGATGAGCAGAACAAAGAAATAGAGACATAGATAAAAACCAAGAAAGTACCAACACAGTGTCACAGATAGCTTAAAATGAAGGTGGCCTGGCACTACTGTTTATAACCTATTTCCATAAGAATTTGAAGTTGCTCCAAATAAATGTCCAAATTTAGGCAGAAGACAAAATAGGGTAAAAAAAATACTCTTTTGCTGAGTTCTGAAACAGGAATGCTGCCACACTGTAAGCATGTCCTCAGAAATGTTGGTCTTTTCCTCCATTTTTTTCTCTGGCCACTACAGACATGCTCTGGCATCACCTATCTTTAAGAAAGTTACCTTTGACTTACCTTGCCTTTCCCAACTATTTGCCATGTATGCCTTTTCTCTTCCACCTTAACTTCAATCAGCTATCAACTTACAACCGCTGACTGACATTTCTAGCCACCAGTTCTCAGGATCAGATCTAAAATAAGGCCTCCACAGTTCAGCTGAAACTCCTCTCACAAATGTCTCCAATAATCTCACCTTATAACTGAGACAAAGAAAACATACTCCATTTTCTCTACTCACATCTATCTTCATTTTCTTAGTTTACTGTCCGCTTTAATCCATTTTTCTCCCCTTGAAACATTGCTCTCCTTTGTTTATAGGAATTCATTTACGTTCACATTTTCCTCTCAAACCCTCCTGCAGCATGTCTTCCAACTTCAGCATTCTCTTAATGCGTCTGGTGAGGGCTCTCACAGGATGCTAACCTTGGTCCCTGCACTTATCCTTCTACATCTGGGCAATTTCACTGCAAAACACAAACTTGAAAACCACCACCTCTTTGCTGGTAACTCCTAAACCGATCCACGTAATTAAAACTCTGAGCACACCATGCCAAAACAGAGGTATGGATATCACTACTGGTCTTATTTCTGGCAAGTCCTCTGCACTTTCATTATGCCAGACAATATAGTAAGTCTGTTTGTCATTTAGGCTCCTAACCAGGGAGTGATCTTCAGCAACGGTTGGGGACAACCTTTCCAATCCAACTGCAGCAAGAAGGTTTCCATCTCACATCTCAGTTCTTGAAACATCTTCTCTTATTTGCTTCTAACAATTCAGTCTTGCCCAGCTAATACCCCTTTAAAACATTGCTTCCTTTTTCCTGCTTTACAATCAGTATCAAAGAATTCTTGGCCACGAGCTGGCGGGGCTCATTGAGAGGGCTTTAAACTAGGTTCGAAGGGGGAAGGGAATATTGCCCAGCTCACTAGGGATGAGCCTAGGCTTGGCGTGCCAAGGCCAAGGGTGAGATTGACAGCCCAGCTCAAGTGTGTTTACACCAATGCACGTAGTATGGCCAATAAACAGGAGGAGCTGGAAGCCATTATACAGCAGGACGGCTACGACTTGGTCGCCGTCACAGAAATGTGGTGGGACAACTCGCATGACTGGCATGCTGTCATGGA